ATGCTCAGGGGAAGAAGCAGGGTAGCTGCAGAGCCCCACAGCCAGAGGCAGATGCCTGCAGCCAGCAGAGAGGTCCAGGAGCACAGGCCAGTGGCCACAGGGCTCAGTGCATTCCTGACCCCAAGTCACGAGGCTCCACAGCCACCCTGCCTCTTCCCCCGAGCACTCCCCAGTCCAAATGCTGGCCCCTCTGCTGCCACCAGAGCAGAACCCTGCAGTGGGCAGCAGCAAAGGGGCTGTCATTGTCCTCCCTTGTCCAGCATATTCCCTGGTTTGGGACTGGTCATGTCCTGAGGGTTATGGACCAGGGAGATCCAACCTGTAGTAAATGAGTGCTGGAAACATTTAGGCTACGTCTAGACTAGCATGATTTTCCGCAAATGCTTTTAATGGAAAAGTTTTCCGTTAAAAGCATTTGTGGAAAAGAGCATCAAGATTGGCACGGACGCTTTTGCGCAAAAGCACTTTTTGCGCAAAAGCGTCTGTGCCAATCTAGACGCGCTTTTGCGCAAAAAAGCACCGATCGCCATTTTCAAGATCAGGGTTTTTTTGCGCAAAACGAATCTGAGCTGTCTACACTGGCCCTTTTGCGCAAAAGCTTTGCACAAAAGGACTTTTGCCTGAACGGGAGCAGCATAGTATTTCCACAAGAAGCACTGATTTCAGACAGTAGGAAGTCAGTGTTCTTGCAGAAATTCAAGCGGCCAGTCTAGACGCAGCCTTAAAGTAATAGAATTAGGGCTTAAACACTCTATTGCACCAAAAATGTCAAGGTTTCAATTTTTTTGTTTTGACTCAGGATGAAAATGACACCTTTCTGATTCACAAAATATTTTGGTTTTGACTTTCATGTGGGAGAGCAGAGGGAGAATAGTATTATGGAGATTTTCACATTTGTTCAAATAAAACATAAAACTTTGCATTTTGAGTAGATACTCCTGCTTCAGGGTCTGTGAACAAAGCATCTTTCAGTCTTTACGTGCAAGTAGAGCCATAAAAAAAAAATCAGTCTCTCTCTTCTTGTTGCATGTACCGTGTATCTTTCTGTTTCTCTGAAGCAATTTCCACAGTGGCGCTAGTCAAATATATGGTTAATGTTCCTCTACCACATATGCTTAAATCTAGCTCGAGATAAAAGGCTGAATTGTGGCTTCAAGGAGGCTTGGAACTGGCTCCCAACTATAGGGTCATGTTCTGTGTTCAGATTCCTAAGTTAGGGAGTCTGCTCTAAATGGAGTTACCAGGTAGGCTTGTGCAAGCAGACAAATGTGACAACACAGACTCAATATTTTCCACATCTGTGGTAACAAGAAAAGGTCCAAAGATCATTAAGTAGCTGTACTCAGTAAGTCTGAAGCAAACGGAAAAGAAGAAGTGGCTCAGCGTATTGTGGCAATAGTATTTTGCTCCTGCTTTTGGACTGCAACAACAGCCATGTGTGCTGTGTCTTGTCAATGTCAGTTTGTGGCACATAATGCCAACAGTGAGGAAGTGCCTATAAAAATATAACCTGTACAAATCTATACAACCCTCACATATCGTACAAACAGTGTCTCTCTTGTGTACTCCCATTCCCTCCCTCCCTCACCCTGGTTACTTTCAAACCATAGGGGAAAATCATGGTAATTCTGCACATTGATGAAGTTTGATATTTCAAAACAAAATGCCATATAATAAATTTTCACATATTTCAGAGTGCAGAACTCATGGAAACTGATGCAGTTTCCTTTTAAACAGCATACAGAAGTATGACAGTTATCTTTCCTAGTTTATCATATTTCAGTTTTTTACATTGTATATGCTTTACAAAAATGACTAACATTCACCATGCAAAGTGCCCAATAGCTAAATGCTAATGTCTGCACTGAGCATTTACATTGGCTGATGTGTATGAGAATATTTGTATGCAGCAATCTGTGTCTAAATCCCAGGAGAACGTAAATTATTCTTTCTAAAATGCTGAAGTGCCTTTTTTTAAAAATGAACTAGATTTTATTTAAGTAAAGGGATGAAACAGATGTAGCAATACATTACATTAAAAGATCCCCATTAGGGTTAATGAACTTGCAGAATGCTGTTTGGAGATGGACTGTTTTAGAAAGTGCCAGCATTTTACAGAATCCTAGCTAAAATTTAAAAGAAAATTACTGCAACTGATCTGCATACATAAAAGCTACCTCCTCCCCTGAGATCTGGTACAAGAATTTTTAGGAGGGTGGTGAAGCATTGAAATGGCTTGCTTAGGGAGGTGGTGAAATCTCCATCCCTATAGATTTTTAAATCCTAGCATGACAAAGCCCTGGATGGGATGATTTATTTGGATTGGTCCTGCTTTTAGCCGGGGATTAGATTCTATGACCTCCTGAGGCCTCTTCCAATCCTATGAGTCTATGAATTTGTCTCTTACTCCTTTGAACTCCTAAATTAACTTTGAACTATGTTTAGTGGATATGTTTGGTTTCTACTGTGTTTTCATCTATGCTGAGAACAACATTGCTAACACAATGTGGAAGTCAGAATGGCATTAGCTTACCCATTACAAAGATAGCTTCCCCAATTATCACCTCTAATATCATTAGCTCACAGACATTTCCCTCCCCCCCCCATACCCCTTCTGTTCTGAAATTTGATTTGTCCTTTTCATATGTGTTCATTTTTTAAAATTGTATCCTTTGGTATATATGGTTGTGACAATTTTCTTCCACTATTTGATCTGAGGAAGTGGGTCTGGCCCATGAAAGCTCATCACCTAATAAACCATCTTGTTAGTCTTTGAAGTGCTACATAGTCCTGTTTTTGTCAACAGAAGTATCTGTAGCGATCCCAAACTAGGTCAAAACCAGTAATGCAATTTTTTACATAAATGAAGGAATGCTGGAACTTTTTGTTGATAGTTGTTTTTGTTTTACGTTGCCATTAGAAAGCAGAGGAAATTAGAAAAAATGTTCATGGTCCTGACCCAATGTTCAGTGAAGCCAATGGGCACACTCCTAATGAACTTTTAAGCAGGCCTTGCATATTAGTGACATGCTGACACCTTCCATTAAGGATGCCATCTGTAGTATTGAGATCAAATATTACACACAATCACATGATTTACCCCACATAAAAAATGAAATGTATATAAACTGTGTATATGAGGTAGTGGTTTTCTCATGATTTGTAAGCTTCCAATTTATCTAAGTGAGCTTGTACTTAACATCTCTTAACAAAAAGTTGTACTTAATATCACTGTAGTTTGGAAATATTTCAAGGTGTAAATTTATCATATGATACTGCTTCCAGTATAATACACACATACAAATTTCATTTTTACTCAAGTGCTCATCTCTTTTATTTATACACTGCTATCCTGGTAAAGAAGCCCATCTGCTCAACTTCCAGAAAATTCATTTTACCTGTGGCCAATAGTCATGATTACCCAATGCAGGGAACACCTGGAGGTCTGGAAAAAAACTTCGAATGGTGGAAGTCATATTGCCAATAACATTAATGACGATCTCTGTGGAAAGTTCCCCAACTGGAACATGAGGAGGGCTATCCCTAGAAAAAAGAGAACTTTGTAATGTCAAAATAGCTGCAACACTAAGAAAAAAAACCCTACTCATCTGTTGTTCTGAATAACTTTGCCGATTAATGTAAATTCTACCCAGGAACACTGATACAGAACTCAAAAGAAAAGCCTGTGAATTGTCTGAGAGGGTCCCTGCCAAGTTCCTCCCTTTACAGATACGTTCCATGTCTAACATGATAAGTACTTACCAGTATTAAGACTTCTTATAATCAAACTAATCTACTCAGAATTGATATATAATCTGGATTTCATTGCTTCACTTCTCTCATCACCTTCCCTCCATCCCTCCAAAAGCCATTTAAGTGTTTGGGGTTTTCCTTCCCATTCTACTGAAAATAAAGTGTAATGGGTTAGTCTGGTCTGTTTATACATACACTTGTCAGCACACTACTCCCAATATATTACCGTATTTATATAACACATTTTAGCTAGGAAGCCAAACTAATCACCTCCAGTTCTTTTGGAAAATACCATGGCATACTGATATGGCCCTCATCACCACAGAGTTCAAATGTTTCACAAGCATTTATGTTCACAGCATCCTTGAGATAACTGGAGATATCATTACTCCCATTTTACAGAGGGGAAACTGAGGTTTGTGTCCACAGTCAACATAGGAAATGAACTCTGTTCTCCTTCATCTCAGGCCAGTGCCTCAACTACACAATAAGTGGACAGGCTTGTTCTAATTCTCATAAAAAAGAGAGTACCACCATCAGCACTATACTGTACTGAGTTATCAGTGAAGACTGACTCAAAAAGAGGAGGATTGTCTTGAATTGTTCTTAACACAGGAGTGGGGAACTTTTGGCTTGCAGACTGGATGCAGTTTGTCAAGGTTAGCCGCTGGAAGGCTGTCAGATGTTTTGTTTACCTGACTGCCCAGTGGCACGGCACCTCACAGCTGTCAGTGGCCGCAGTTCGCTATTCCCAGCCAATGGGAGCTGCGAGAAGTGGTGGCCCAGCCATGACTGCTTCCTGCAGCTCCCATTCGCCAGGAACTGCAAACCCTGGCCACTGAGATCTTCAGGTGGCCATGCCTGGGGACACTCAGGTAAACAAACTGTTTGGCAACGTGCCAGCGGCCAACATGCTAGCGGTTCCCTATCCCTGCCTAAGAACTGACACATTTTTTTCTTGAAAGTTTCCCTTCTGAGGAGTAGCCAGGCTTGTTCCAGCCATGTTCACCACGTAAGTCAAGGCATAAGTATGAGCCCAATGTGCAATTAAAATAATTAGCTTCTGAGAATTAGGTTGGTGTGCACAACCGTGCGGTAGTGCAACCAAAGATTGAAACCACACAGTGACTGCTCCTTCAGTTGTTAGAGATGAGGAGGGCAGCATTAAAAACCAGACATTTCTTTTAACAAGCCACATCACAAAATAAAGGACAGAGAATTACTGCAGATAACGAAAACATAGTTGATGAAAATCACATAGCAGATTACCATGGTTACAGAGCAGCTGCACTTCTTTCTCTGTTCAGGTTTCTCTGTGTGCATTTCCTTAGGTCTCAGGCCTTTACCTAGACTCGGGTGGAAGTTCACAATCATCCAACTCTTACACTGGGCTTTAGCCTACAATAGGCTCTGCACCAGCCATTCTTACCCAGAAGACTGGACTGGCTCCAGGTACTGCAGATTCCCCTTCAAGAGTTTGTGATTAGAGGTGTCCAGTGACCAGACTGTCCTCTTAACCTATACAGGATCTCTATAGAGCATTCTTAAAACTGAAATACCCACCTAGAGAAGTGAAAAAACAGATCAACAGAGCCAAAAGAGTACCCAGACATGAGCTACTTCAAGACAGGCCAAGAAGAAAAAACAACAGAATTCCACTTATCACCTACAGCCCACAACTTAAACCCCTCCAATGCATTATCAACAATCCTGGAAATATGACCCCTCACAGGTCTTGGGGGGAAAGACCAATCCTCGCCTACAGACAACCCCCTAACCTGAAACAAATTCTTTCCAGTAACCACGCAGTACACTTCCATCATTCTCATCCAGGAACCCACTCCTACAATCAGCCCCATTGCCAACTCTGTCCACACATCTACACAAGTGATTTCATCACTGGACCCAACCACATCAGCCACTATTTCAGGGGCTCATTTAACTGCACATCCACTAATGTGATCTATGCCATCAAATGCCAGCAATGCCCCTCTGCCATGTATATTGGCCAAACTGGACAGTCTCTATGGGAAAGAATTAATGGACACGAATCAGATATCTGAAAAGGCAACACACAGAAACCTGTTGGAGAATACTTTAACCTGCCTAGGCACTCATTAAAGTCACCATGTTGTTTCAGGCCAATTCCACAAGCCGAATACACTGGAAAGCGTTGGAACTTAACTTTATTTACAAGTTTGGGACCCATCACAAATATATGAATAAAGACATTACCTAGCTAGCACACTACTTTCCACATCCTAATGACTTAACCAATCAAACAATGGGTACTTAAGAACAATTTGCACCTTCTCTATCAGCTTCACATAACATGAACACTCTAATTCACTATTTTTTCCTTTCCTTTCCCCTTCCATCCCATATTTATTTTGGAACTGGACTTTTAATACTCCATTCATCTGAAGAAGTGGGTTGTACCAATGAAAGCTCACGATATCATCTACATGTTTTGTTAGTCTTTAAGGTGCTGCTAGACTATTCATTGTTCTTTAAGTTTTTTCTTAGACAAAAGTATTGTTTATTTTAACAAAAGAAATAATGTCTTTACAGAAAAAATATGTTATAAGTAGAAGATGCGGGGGGTAGGCTGTGCTGGGGACCGGACTGGGAGGAAAGGGGGGCAAAAATGGTAACCTTGCAGGCCTAACGTCTTCATAATCTCCAGTGGGTGCCTTTCTCTCAGCCTGGTTCCCATAAACTACTCTACACTCTCTCGAGTGTGTTTCTTTTTAAACCTGACAGAGTTCTTTTTATTACTTATGCTCCTGGGTCTCTTCCTTTCTTGGCATTATTGTCTCTTATCACCCTCAAGTGTGTAGAGAAGTGCCTTTCTTTTGATTCATTCTTTTTCATAAATTCTTAGTGATTAAATTCAGATGGGACTATTAAACCATATAATCTGACCTACTGTATAATACAGGCCATTCAATTTCACCCATTTAACCCTGTATTAAGACCAGTAGCTTGTGCTTGGCTAAAGCACAAGTAGGTATCCAGTCTCCAAGACAGTGATTCCCAAACTTTTTCCCATGGAGGAACCCCTAAAATAATTTTTCATATCCCAAGGAACTCCGACCTATGAAAACATTTGCTTGGCCAGAAAAAGTTGACAGCGGGGAGCGTAATTCAATTACTGCTAAATTATTGTCAAGAAAATTTATTTGTAAAGAGCTGTTTTATATATATATATATATGTATGTCAGCTTACATTGTAAGAAAAAAAATTATTTATTTATTCCACAATTTCTCACGGAACCCCTGACGATTGTCTGTGGACCCCTAGGATTGGGAAACACTGCCATACATTGTAAGAAAATTTTTATTTATTTATTTATTTCACGATTTCTCCCGAACCCCAGGGTTCCGTGGAACCCTGGTTGGGAAACACAGCTTCAAGAAATGGAGAATCCACCCTTTTTTCTTGGTAGTTTGTGCCAATGGCTAATCACCATTGATTAAAAAAAAAGTTCTTCATTTCTTTTTCTCTCCTGTTTGTTTTTCCCAACAGCCACTATTGAACTATACAATTATATTCCTACAATAAACATTGCAAATCAGATAAATATACAATATTAATAAATTATTCCACAGCACCTTCAAATCTGTTACAGAGGGCTTAAACATTCAGCCTTGCAACTTTTTAGTAGGACTTTCAAATGATTAAAAAAATCATTTCAACTGAAAGATAAAAAAGTCACAATTATTCATAGTTTTAATCACAAAGTAAAACAATAATAGATACCAATTTAAATTCACCATAGAAATCATGTCCTCTGGAATGATGACTGAAGCATGAAGGGGCATATGAATGTTTAGAATATCTGGCCACAACAGTTCCATGTGAATGTAGATGACTTGTGGTAGCTCTTGGGAGGTGCATCTCCCTCTGTCCCCTGCCAACATTTTAATTGATAAATGGGGTGTCTCCTCATGCCTCCTTCCTTTGGGTGGCCTTCCCTTCACCCTCTCTTCCTCCAGGCACCAGTTGTCCATACATGTGAGTGCCTACTCTCACTTTCTGGTGAGAGCATTGTAAATTAGGGATGTAAGCAACAAGTTGAATGACTACTCAACGACACGCTTTCTCTCCCCTCCTCTCCCAGCCTCTGTATAAGGAAACAGGAGCTGGTGCACTGCAGCACCATCTCCGCAGAGCAAGGCGGAGCCAGGGAGGCAGAACCGCAGTGGTCCCAAGGGTTCATGCTGCCCCAGGGAGCTATCCCCACTGCGGCTCTACACTTTAAAGGTGGTAAGAGTCCGGGGGGTTCTTACTACAGTAAACTTCCGATAATCCGGCACCTTTAGGACCCAGGGGGTGCCGGATTATCAGATATGCCAGACTATCAGAAGGGAGAGCTATGAGGGGTCTGGGGTGGGAGGGGGGATGCCACCCCAGACTCCTCATAGTACCCCCTTCCGATAGTCCAGCTCTGCCCCAGGCGTCCCTGATTCAGCCGCTGCTGGGCCGTTTCCGCAGGGGCCGGAACGGGGGCG